CTTTCATAGGTATTACAAAACATAAATCCATAAAATATGAACCAAAAATAATATAGTAGGCAAAACAGTACCAGAATAAAACTCTAAATCAGATTTAAAGATTGTGTTAGAGTAAGGAATGAGAACTCAACTGTAATAAAACTAGAAGATAAGTATGAACATTGTTTTAGTAAACCTCATACATCAATAACCATAGTGTTTGTAAAGAAATTAAGATTTCTAATTGAAAGACAGAGTGATGAAATACATATCGATTTTGAGAAACAAGTTGATTCTAAAGGTCATGTACAGACTGAATGTGGATGGGATGAAATAGGAAATTCTAGGTAAATGGATTACAGCACAAAGCAGAAATAATCATGAAGTTATTATGTAAATAGAAGCATAAATAACAGGCAGTAGAAAATCCAAAGAATTCACTACATAATGATAAAGGGATTAATACAGCTGGGAAAAATCTACATGTTTATGCACCCAATATTTGAACATTAAATAAAATAAACATTAAGAGACATAAAGAGACTGACAGAATACAATGTACTAATTAATAGAAGATATCAACACATTCCTTTCAATGTGGTGGTATTATAATATCATGTTGACATCAGTCAGTCCATTGAGCAGCGAATCAGAGTTAATTTCACTATGGACCAATTGTACCTGACAGACATCTGAAAGATTACATCCAACTGCAGAACACACATTCTCAATAATGTGACAGATATTCTGCAGGATAGATTCATGTGGCACATTCAAAATGAGTCACAGAAATTTAAGAAATTAAATTATTAAATTATATTATGTCACATGGCTTTCCTGAACATAATTCCATAAAATCCCAAATCAATAAAAAGGATGAAAAACATCTGGGAATTATACAGATATGTAAAACAATGAATAAACAGTAGTTCAAATAAGAAGGTAAATTATATATTTTTTTTCATGCATCATATCAAGACTTATGGAGCTATATTACAAACAGTTCTAAGAGGGGAGATTATAAGATCACAGGTTACACAAAACAGAAACTCTATTAAAGAACCAACCTTTCAAAGCATCTTAGGAAGCTAATCAAGAAAAGACCAACTGAATATTGGTTTAAAAATAAATATAAAAGAAAAGTATTTTTGTTGCATGATAAGACCTCTCTTGGGTATATTCCCAAGAGTGGTATTGCTGGGTCCATGGGTAGGTTGATCCCAAATTTTCTGAGAAACCGCCACACTGCTTTCCAGAGTGGTTGTACAAGTTTGCATTCCCACCAGCAATGGATAAGTGTACCCCTTTCTCCACAACCTCTCCAGCATAGGCTATCATTGGTGTTTTTGATTTTAGCCATTCTGACAGGTGTAAGATGGTATCTTAAAGTTGTCTTGATTTGCATTTCCCTGATCGCTAAGGAAGTTGAGCATGACCTTAGGTGTCTTTTGGCCATTTGAACTTCTTCTGTTGAGAGATCTCTGTTCAGCTCAGTGCCCCATTTTATAATTGGGTTGATTAGCCTTTTACAGTCTAGTTTCTTAAGTTCTTTATATATTTTGGAGATCAGACCTTTGTCAGTTGCGGGGTTGGTGAAGATCTTCTCCCAGTCAGTGGGTTGCCTTTCTGTCTTAGCGACAGTGTCCTTTGCTTTACAGAAGCTTCTCAGTCTCATGAGGTCCCATTTATTCAATGAGGCCCTTACTGTCTGTGCTGCTGATGTTATACGTAGGAAGCGGTCTCCTGTGCCCACTTGTTGTAGTGTAGTTCCCACTTTCTCTCCTATCAGGTTCAGTGTGTTCAGACTGATATTGAGGTCTTTAATCCACTTGGACTTGAGTTTTGTGCATGGTGACAGACATGGATCTATTTTCATTTTTGTACAGATTGAAATCCAGTTTTGCCAGCACAATTTGTTGAAGATGCTCTCTTTTTTCCATTGTATAGTTTTAGCTCCTTTATCGAAAATCAGGTGCTCATAGGTTTGTGGATTAAAGTCAGGGTCTTCTATACGGTTCCATTGGTCGACTTCTCTGTTTTTATGCCAATACCAAGCTGTTTTTAATACTGTAGCTCTGTAATAGAGTTTGAAGTCAGGGATGGTAATGCCTCCAGACGTTCCTTTATTGTATAAGATTGTTTTGNCGAGACCTGGACAGAGGAGGGTTTTCCTTGGACTTCCCACGGGACGGGAGGGAGGGAGGGGGACATGATTGGGGGAGGGGGAGGGAAAGGGGAGGCGGAGGTGGGGAAGAGACAGAAATATTTAATAAATAAATTTAAAAAAAAAAAAGAAACACACACACACAAAAAAAAGAAAAGTATTACATCATGCTCACATTGTGTATGGAGAATTTGATCCTGGGATCACAGCCAGTTGTTGAGTTTAGTCAGGAGAAATATATATATTTCTAGATGGGAGCCTGCTTGCCATTTCTTGTTCTGAATTGGCAACAGAAAAACTGTATCAGAGGTCAGAAAGGGTCCATGTGGAGAAGGTTACCTAATGCAACCATTTATTTTGGTAGGGAAATGAAAATACTATGAGACAAAGTGTGGGATGAAAGGAATTTCAGGACAGTAAGTGCCAAGCTATATATTATCCTCTTTGTTTTCCATTATTGACTTTCTCAAGCTAAACTCTAGAGATCGGCATATTCCATTATAGTCAGACATACAGTAATATTAGAACTAAGTCAGTCATGCTGTTCCCATTTGTGTCCACTTTTACTCAGTGTGGTCTATTTGGTATCTCACAATACAACTCTGAATGGAAACCACTATATTCTTCCATCTAGTGAGACATTTAAGGCTAAATTTATGGATCAAGATTATCGGACAATTTGGCAGAGATAAAATAAATAGCTGTTATTTTATTGTAATATGTTTGTGAATGAGTTATTCATTGAGCAAAAGTTGCTATATATTGTTAGACTAAAAATATTTAATCTATTTTCTTTCGTAGGAAACAGTGAAATATTAAGGGAAGTACCATTTTGGAGAACCAGATTTAGATATAAAATTGGCTCTATAGTCTACTAAGTGATTTTCAAGAAGACAGCCAAATAATGAATCATTTTCTATCTGTTATTACCTAGAACTGAAATTTAGTTACCTACAGTGCTTAGCTATAGAGTCTGTTTTCCCACAATCTAGCCCACATGTGAAGCTTTTCATTGTTGTCTCACGTTCTGAATGCAAACCCTTATCTAATTACATGTTGTATTGCATCAGTTTTTCCAGACACAGAGGTAACAATCTCTAGAGAATTCGTTATTCACTACACTTAAATTGTGGCATCCTGCTGTGATCTTGTTGATAGTAGGGCAGAAAGGGTATTGGAAAGAACCACAAACTGGAACACTGGCACTGGCAGGGTTATAGCCTCTCTCCTGCTTATCCCTTATTCCTCTCTAAGGGCTACAGGAAGCCTTATTAATTCATCATGCTTGCTTTCAGAGTTAGAACATTCACTCATGGTAAGAACAACTGTTTTACAAAGCATGTGAGATCCAAGAAAATATAAAAGGAAACACCGAACAGATGTTGAGAAGCAAAAGGGAGGACGTCAGGCAGCAGAAGAGTGGAAAGAAGAGAAGAACCAAGAGAGCGCAGTAAAAAAGTTCTCATTTAATTACATAATTTTAGTGATATTCTCTCTCTCTCTCTCTCTCTCTCTCTCTCTCTCTCTCTCTCTCTCTCTCTTTCTCTCTCTCTCCTCTTTGTCTGTCTCTCTCCTGTATTCCTGTATCACCCAACTTAAACTAGAAAAATTCCATAACCAGACCTTTCTTTAGATGCCCCAGACTTCCACTTGAGGTAGCATCTGTCCATGAACTTGTCTACATAAGAGAAAGGTCTATTTCAGATATAACAGAGGAGGAATTTCAGAATGAAGTTAAAATTTCTGCAGACCTTAAAATTCCCACTCCAACCCGAACACCAGTAACTTTTCAATATGTTCTTACATCTCAGAGTTTCCTAAAATTTCAAATTTATAAAAAAAAAAACATAAATTCCAGCCTCTACTTTTAGGAAAATGCTGGAAACCATGAAATGCTTTTGCAGGTGAGTTTGAAACTACATGGTCAGAAGCAGTAGAAACTGGACTGTCAAAATCAAGCAAAGCAAAGCTACAGTATGAAGGCTTGTAAGATAACCAGGTGTAGAAAGATGGGAACTTCAGAATGGTATTGTAGCTGCCTGAACTCAGCTTGTGAATTTCCTAGGGCTTTATTTGCACACAACATGGAGAAGCTTTTCCTTTCAGAAGTGACAATGGATTGAATACAAAGCATGTCATGCAGTCCACAGTATCAGAGGAGCTTCATGGTAGAGAAAACATTATAAGGTGATTCATATCTTGATATGGGTCATATATTAGGTCATCACTGTGTGACAAAGAGATAAAATTGACCTATCCCATTTCTTTTTTCTTTTCCTTTCTCTTTCTTTCTTTCTTTCTTTCTTTCTTTCTTTCTTTCTTTCTTTCTTTCTTCCTTTCTTCCTTTCTTCCTTTCTTCCTTCCTTCCTTTCTTTCTCTCTTTTCCTTTTTTTTCAGTGTAGTATTACTTTTTAACTGTTGATTTTAGGTTATTATGCAAAATAATGAGTTTCTTATTTCCAAGATGATTCACTTCCTCTTTTCAGTTAATTCCAACCACTGCTGTCATATTATTGTATTCTGCTACCCTTTTTGTTTCCCACTTTCCTTAGATCTCTTTGTTCCCTCTCAAGACCAGAGGAAGCTTTAACAGGCTTCCTTTGGGAAGCTGAAGGGATGGTCTTGATGGCAGTAAAGGAAATATGTTACTTTAATGTTAACTAACAAGGAAATGCAGATGACGAAGTAGGGTATATACTGGATTGAGTAGTAAGTGTACATAATCATTGAAGATTATTTTTTCTGTTTATTGTTGCCCGTATCCATTGTTCTTTCCCGACACAGATCCTGGCCTTGTCAATGCCTTTCCCATTACAGAATAAGTGTGGAACTGGATTGTGCTCTAGCAGTCAGCCCAATGGCAACCTCAAACTCCAGCAGCATCTTGTCCTCCACATTCTACCTTACAGGGATCCCTGGCTATGAGGAGTTTCACCACTGGATTTCCATCCCATTCTGCTTCCTTTACCTTGTTGGCATAACAGGAAACTGCATGATCTTGCATATCGTGAGGACAGACCCAAGGCTCCACGAGCCCATGTATTACTTCCTGGCCATGCTGTCTCTCACTGACATGGCCATGTCCCTGCCCACAATGATTTCCCTTTTCAGGGTGTTGTGGTCCATTTCCCGAGAGATCCAGTTCAATATCTGTGTGGTCCAAATGTTTCTGATTCATACCTTTTCCTTCACTGAATCATCTGTGCTCCTGGCCATGGCCCTTGACCGGTATGTGGCCATCTGCCACCCTCTGCGATATGCAACCATTCTCATCCCAAAGCTTATTGCCAAGATTGGGATTGCAGCTCTGCTCAGGAGTTCCATCTTGATAATTCCACTTATGGCACGCCTAGCTTTCTTTCCCTTCTGCCGCTCCCATGTTCTTTCTCATTCCTATTGTCTGCACCAGGACATGATCCGCCTCGCCTGTGCTGACATCAGATTCAATGTCATATATGGGCTAGTCCTCATTACTTTGCTGTGGGGCATGGACTCCTTGGGCATTTTTGTATCATATATTTTTATCCTTCTCTCAGTGTTAAAAATTGCATCTCGTGAGGGTAGGCTGAAGGCTCTCAATACATGTGCATCCCACATCTGTGCTGTGCTCATTCTGTATGTGCCCATGATAGGGTTATCCATCGTCCATCGTTTTGCCAAGCATTCTTCTCCTCTCATTCACATCTTCATGGCTCATATCTACTTAATGGTGCCACCAGTGCTTAACCCCATCATCTATAGCGTGAAGACCAAGCAGATCCGCCAAGGAATCCTCCATCTCATTTGTTCTCCCAAAATCAGTTCTATCGCAATGTAGGCGTTTCACCTTCCTAGACATGGACGGAGGGGGGAGGACCTTGGACTTTCCACAGGGCAGGGAACCCTGACTGCTCTTTGGACTGGAGAGGGAGGGGGAGAGGAGTGGAGGGAGGGGGAGAGGAGTGGGGGGAGGGGGAGAAGGGTGGGAGGAGGGGGAGGGAAATGGGAGGCTGGGAGGAGGCAGAAATTTTTTTTCCTTTTCTCAATAAAAAAAAAAGAAAAATCAAAACCACCTATGAGTGAAAGAAAAAAAAGTATACTGAATACAGAGAAACTGTGCATATGAAAATGACTTCACAGTAGGATGGTACAACGTCAAAATAAGGACACAGGGAAATCTTAAACACTCAGAGTTTCGTGATCTTGATGGAATTATTATTTTCTTTGCTCTACATAAGAACTGCATGTTTCTGACCCTGTATGGGATCTGGAATACACTGTTAATTTTAGGATGTTTGTCTCTATTAAACATATCTGTTAACATTCATATAACATTCTTTATGTTACAACTGAGCAATGTGGAAAGGTTTCTAGAGAATATGCATTGTGGAATGAAAGTAGAGTAACTCAATTTTCATATCAGTATTGGGGAATGTACAAGGCTAATTGTGGGCTTTCATGTCCAAATGTTTGCACATAACTGCACTGTTTTGTCTTCATTTGTATAGACATGGAATCTCCATGTTTTCCGAAGCCCAGGGACATAGCTAACCATCATTATAACTTGGTGCAGTGCTAACATAACTGCCAACTTTCCCACTGAGGACTTCATCCTCCAAAGCCACAGCTCTTGTATATTCCTACCATTTCTAGGTAAATGTCTTTGTACAGATACTGTATCATGAGGCAATCCTCTTAAAAATTTCATTAGGTAGAATTTATTTTAGTTGCTATGTGCAGCATTATGCATAAGAAACTAGCAGAAAGACAAGTGAGAAAGAAATATCTGTAAATGTAAAATTATAATTATGTGCTTTAACAGTAGATATCATTATTATCTTCATCATACTTAAGAATCTAATTTAATCAACTTGTTAATTAATTCTGTGTGGTAGAGCTCCAATATCTATATTTAACATTATAAGATTTATTAAAATTAATGAGAGTTTTAAGACTAAGAGCGGGTGTTTGAAAATGCCACTTGTAATAACAGCAAATGCTGACTAGGTGTTTGTTTCCTACTGTGTCCTACTGAACATTTTATATCTAGAAACAATGTAAGTGTTTGAAAAAAGTGGTTGATTGTAAAATATTGCTCTCTGTTATTCTAATATGTTGGTGCATTTTAATATATTAGACTTGTTGGTCCATTGATGAAAGCAAATTTTGAAGTAATGTTTTTTATTTCTCTTGGGCACTTGAATGCTTACACACACACACACACACACACACACACACACACACAAATAAAAGTAAAAATTCTCTAAACAATAAAAGAAACAGAGAGATAAATCTGAAACAATGACCAGAAGATAAACGACAAAATCTGCTGACTAACACCAACCAGGAAGACTACCTTTCTATATAGTTCCAACAGTCAGAGCAGCAACACTTGCTGACCAAGTTGTCAAACACATAAGACTGTGGATGACATATTGCATTCAACTGTCACATACTTATAAAAAGCAAAATTAAACAAAACTTCATAATTTAAAGACTTGAAGAAAGATAAATGAAGCTACATTTTCAGAAACCTATGTAAATTTTCCTCAAAATTCTAATGTATAAACAAAAAATTAGCATGATATAGTAAAGATCATGGCAAAAATGAATATAAAAAACAATTAACCTTAGGACCAGGCTCGAGCCAGGGACATCTGTGGAAACAGGCCCAAACTAGAACCTTCATGGGACCAGGCCTGAGCCAGCGACCTCAGCTCAGAAACAGACCCAAGCAAAAGACCTCAGTGGGAGCAGGCCCAAATGACCACAGTGGTTACAGATTAACCCCTGGGAGTACCCAGCAACCCTGGGGAATGCGAAGTGACCTCTGGGATGAGTGGCCCTGACTCCACCATGAGGAACAACCATCAGAGCCTTGGATCTATTGGCATCTGGGAGATTGATCACCAGAGACACAGCCCCAACTATACAATATAAAATGGAAAAAAGAAAGCATATTCAACAAACAGTGCTGGAGTAACTGGATATCAACATGTAGAAAAATGAAAATAGATGCATATTTATCCCCATGCACAAAACTCAAGTTCAAATATCAAAGTCCTCAACATAAAACCAACCACAATGAACCTCATAGAAAAGAAAGTGGGAAGCACTCTTGAACACATTGGCACAGGAGACAACTTCCTAAATATAATCCCAGTAGCACAGACCCTGAGAGAAACAATTAATAAATGGAACCTGCTGAAACTGTGAAGCCTCTGTAAAGCAAACAACATGGTCAACAAGACAAAATGGCAGTCTACAGAATGTGAAACGATCTTCACCAACCCCACATCAGACAGAAGCCTGATCTCCAAAATATTCAAAGAACTCAACAAATTGGTCATCAAAAGAATAAGTAATCAAATAAAAAATGGGGTGTAGACCTAAACAGAAAACTCTCAGCAGATGAATCTAAAATGGTTGAAAGACACTTAAAGAAATACTCAACATCCTTAAGCCATCAAAGAAATGCAAATCAAAACAACCCTGAGATTTCATCTTACACTTGAAACAATGGCCAAGATCAAAGCACTGATGACAAATTATGCTGGAGAGGATGTGGGGAAAAGGGAACACTTCTGCTTTGCTGGTGGAAGTGCACAATGGTACAGCCACTTTGGACACAAGTATGGCAATTTCTCAGAAAATTAGGAAGCAACCTACCTCAAGACCCAGCAATACCACTTTTGGATATATACCTAAAGAATGTTTAATCGTGCCACAAGGATATGTGCTCAACTGTGTTCATAGCAACTTTGTTTGTCATAACCAGAAACTGGAAACAACATAAATGCCCCTCAATTGAAGAATGGATAAAGAAAATGTGGTACATTTTCATAATGGAGTACTACACAGAGGAAAAAAAAATGACATCTTGAAATTTGTGGGCAAATGTATGGATCTAGAAAACATCATATTGAGAGAGGTAACCCAGACCCAGAAGAACAATTGTAATATGTACTCATTCGTAAATACCTTTAAAACATAAAGCAAAGAAAAATCAGCCTACAATTCACAATCTCTGAGAATCTAGACAACAAAGAGGATCCTAAAAGGGACATACATGGATCTAATCTACATGGGAAGTAGATCTCCTGAATAAATTGGGAGTGTGGGGACCATGGGTTAGGGTAGAAGGGGAGGGGAGAGGAAGGGAGAGAAGCAGAGAAAAAATACATATCTTAAAAAAGCAATTAAAAGAACAACCTGTTCACATACAGAACTTTTAATATTTATTAATTTTTTCTTTGGAAAAATATCATTATATCTTAAAAAGTTTAGTTTTTATTTGTAGATATATGAGTGCTTACTACTTGTGTGCAGGTGCTTACAGAGGCTGGAAGAAGTGATTGCATCTCCTAGTGCTGGAGCTATGTGGTTGTGAGCCTCATTATATGGATTCTGAGAATAAAATTCCAGTCTCTGGAAGAGCGGTAAGAGCTCTTAACTTTTGACAATTTTTCCAGCCCCAGATTGTACTATAATAAAAAAAAAATGGTCTAAAGTAACACAAACTAAATCTGATGTTTCGGGACTTGAGTTTAAAGGCTGAAGTGATACTTCGTCCACAAAATGATTATTTATTCTCATTACAGACTTATTCAGACTACTGTTTGATTGACACCTTGGCATCTCAGTGACACGACACCATGGGCAATCTTTTAAATTTATGATCTTTAAGATAAGAAGGACACAAACAGCCTCCATATTAGAGTTCTGGGGAGATTATAAAGTTAATATAGTTATGTTTAGAGGACATCACCACTGCCTCTGTTTGATTCTATCCCAGCTCTTCCTTTCTTTGATCACTTGCCATGTCAGAGAAAGAGCATCTCTGGAGGGCAGCCACAGAGAGGCCGAAACATATAGCCACACTCACTACATATGTGACATTTCTCGATCATTTGAAAACTTTGAATAGTCATCAACATCTTCATTCCAAGCACAAACTGCTGGTTTTGTTTTTGTATTTGATGTTTGTACCTTCTATCTGCAAGGGCTTTCTATTCCACTTAACTCGGCCTCATCATCTCTGTCCTTCATTAGCTGATTAGGTTACATAAGAATTAAAATAAACTGTAAATAGAATTTGTTATGCAATGTTTTCTAAACATGCTCTCTCTGTACTAATATAAGAGATTTGAAGTCGAATAGGCCAATGTGCTTTCCAATTTGCAGCTGCCAAAGTGTGATAATACAGGAATTAAAATGATTAGATTTTATTTTTTAATTTCCCTGCTTAATTCATCCTTAAAATTCACATTTCAATAATATTACATGGGGCACTAAAGCGAGTGAAGGAGATACAAATTCATACATGAGAAAAGTGTCTTAATATCATACGATAGTGTACTAAGTCACTAGACATTCAGTTTAAACTTTAAAATATATTTCTATCTTAATATAGCATAGCTTTAAGTGTATCCATCATTTAGTAAAATTTCTTTTCCTTTATTATGTGTATGAGGGTACTGCCTGCATATAAGTTGGCATACTGCATGCATACCTGGGGTCCAAACAAGCCTGGAGTGACATGTGGTTGTGAGCCTCCATGTGAGTGCTATGAACTGAAGCCAGGTCCATTAAAGAACAGCAAGTGCTCTTAGTTATTGAGTCATCTCTTCAGGCATTGAGTGGATAGAACTGAAAGAAGCAGCCAAAGCCCAAGAGGAAACTCAGTCCTCTTCCTGGGGAAATTGGCACAAAAGTGTAAATTCAGTCTTGTGGAACAATGTTCATTAATAACCTACAAGCTTTGTGGAATTCTCAGAATTATCATGGCAGTGCAGAGGGACATTGTACTGTTCTGTGTTTTCCCAGTCCCAGTTCTGT